TAACAGAGCTGTATGCATTGCTGATGCACATAAATGTATTTCACGCTTGAGAGAATTAAGCCCCATTTAACAAAGAGTCAAAACACTGGTTAAGCGGGTTAACACAGGCCTGCACAATTAAAACAGCTTCACTCTAAAAGTTATTTTACAGGTTAAAAAAAACTTTGAGGGTTTTTTTTTTTTTTTTACACAAACTTTGATCATTTAATCTTTTTGATGCATTGTTTAAATTTTTCTTTTTTTTTTAAAATATTCTCTGGTTCAACTAAATTTTATTGCTTTAAAAATTTTGTCTCTTTGCATTTTTTTGCCCGTAATAACTGTTAATCCTTTTTTTTTGCTATAATTTATTTTTTTTATCATTTATAATATTATATAGACTCTCAGAAATTCTATGACACTTTCCCTTTGAAACAGCTGAAAGTGATTATTTGGAAAAAGAAAATTGCTCAAATCAAAAAAAAAATCATAAATAAAAATACATTTTTGGAAATCCTGCTAAATAATAAATTCTTGTCAGTATAAACATGCACATGTTGATCTATCAGCATCATAAACCATCTGAGCTTATGCTTTGCAATTTAAATTCCTGTGTAGCTTCAGCGAGGACGAGCGAGGAGCCCTCTGACTGCAGGTGGCTGGCTTCCTGTGTGGTCCTCCTGGTGTGGGATAATTGGTCCACGGAGGTTACAGACAAAATAGCCGCCGTGCCCTCGCTGAGGGTTTCCCACAGGAGCAGCATCATGTGGAGGAGGCCTGTTTACACACCAGGTGATGGATTCAGCATCGATCATGCGATTAAAGGATGAGTATAAAACACACAGGGGCACTTTGTCTTCATGTGAACTGATATTATGAATTTAAATAAATGAGTTTAGAGGCTGAACTTAAGATGCTTTTATAACCCACTGCATAACTGTCACCACTAGGGGGCAATGTTTTACCAGTGTAAGTGCTGCTGTCCCCGGTTCCTCCCAGATTTCCTCAGCAGGCTTTACCTTCCCTCTGTGCTCATAATGACTCAACGTCTCATTTCAAATCCATTGCAACAGTTTACAGAGCAGCTGTAGATGGTTTCACCTTAAAAGCACAACACTAACCACAGACTGTCTAAGACATTTTCCCCACATCACACTCAAAGAAGTAAAAACAGCCTCTCAGCTGTTTTCTCTGGCTATAGTTACACAGTGTAACATTTAGCAGTGACTCCTGGATTTAGCTTCATGCACTGAAACACGGCTGACCCCCCTTATCTGGAAACTATCTTCTGAAAGACAAACTTTGTGTCGCAGATCTTTACAATTAAATGATGTGACATGTTTTAACCCGTAAAACCAAACTGAAAATGTAAAAAAGTCCTTTAGAAATCATTCTAAAGTAAAGCTGGGCCTGTTTAATTTACAGGCATGGAAAGGGATCCAACACTTACGAATATCTCTCGTGAGTGTTGGTGACTGTGCTGCTGCTCAGAGAACCAGGCCTTCGTAGGGAAAAGGTTTGAGTTAAACAACTTTTGCAGTTTAGTTAAAAAAAAAATGACCTGAAATGCAATTTTTAAATTGTAACAGTTATTAATGACACATCACAGGAAAACAAATGAAATCCGTTCCCTGCTCATGTTCAGCGATGGCACTGAAGCTTCGGGTGGTCCACGGTGGTCTCAGGAGTGACGTAGCACTCCAAACTCTGTATTCCTGAATAACAGGTCCAAAAACATTGGACTGCAGCTTCAGAGGATCCACACGTGCTTCTCCAAAGTGACACAGTTACAGAAACTAACTTAATCAAATGCTAAATCTACTTTTGTACAGCTGAGCCATGTTTTACTCGTTAAACCCTTTGATGATGAGTTCATGGCCTCGATCTATAGTTTCACTTTAATCCAACATGACGCTCATTTATTAACGGGAGACTGCAGACATGAGAGTAGTCTCAGTCTTCACATCTGCTCTCCAAAACATGACCAGTGGTTGGTGAGACAATGTCACGGCAGGTCGCTGGACTCAAACACGCCCATCAAGCATGAATGGCATCATTTCCTTGTATACTTACACAATCTGAAGCTCTGATCCAACATGAGGACCAACTCACCCACCCTGAGTCTGGATGATAAATTAACATCATGGTGAAGAAAAAAAAAAAAAAAAAAAAAAAGCGATTCTTTGGTCACAGTTCTTTATTGAAATGTTCAGAGAACACAAAAACAGTGTATTCATAGTAAAACAATCAATAAATACAAACAATAAAACCTGATTATAAAAGCAGTGGTGTGTCCCTTTATCAGAGTTCATATATCTGAACACTCAGAGCGTTTGGATATTTGTTCTTCTGAGCATCACGAGCTGAAACGTCTTCAGCAGCAAGAGCTTCACGGATCATCAGGCAGTGTGTGCATAACGCCTGTGACGAGGCATTCAAGGACACCTCAGAAGTTTAACCCACAGGAGGAGAACTAAACACTGGGGTACTGAATGACAGCGCGCCACGTTAAAGTTAAAGCACACACTGAGTGACAGTCGCAAACACCTTGTTTGTTTGCTTCATTGACATCAGCCGTCAGCAGAGAGGAGTTCAAAACCAGAGAGCACATGTCGCCCTGCAGAGGAGCGACCCGGCTAACATTAGGAGCTGTTTCTACTTCAATATTTAAAAAAAGACATTTATACAAAACAACAAAAGTCTCTCTGGTTTCAGAGGCCTTTAGTCTGACAGGATCCAGCACTCAGTCAGAAAATTTTCCATCAAACAAAAGAGCGAAACCCTTCCGCTCACTAACAATCCGGTCGTTAAGTGATGACATGACGAATCCTACTTCCGGGCCTAAAGTAGTCTGCGTTTAATATGGCTTTTGTGTT